AATTTAATAATTATTTTGTTAACATTGCAGAGAAAATAAAACTACAAGATATTAATAATCCCGTAATTGCAAATGATATTAATGATGATGAAAATTATATTCATTTCATGAACCAAGCTTTTTCTAATCCATACCCAAATATGAATTCCAAATGCTGTACGAACAAAGAAATAAAAAAAATAATAAAATCCCTTAAACTAAAAAAATCGCATGGATATGATGAGATACCACCTATGATTTTAAAAATAAGCTCGTCATTTATAAGTTCACCTACCAATTATATATGCAATAAAATGTTAAGGAGAGGAGTATTTCCGGATAGATTAAAATATGCATTAATAAAACCATTATATAAGAATGGTGATATATATGATGTGTCTAATTATAGACCTATATCACTTTTAACATCTTTTTCAAAAATATTTGAAACTATAATGTACTCAAGAATTTTGGATCATCTCAATAAATACAATATTTTAAGTACTGAACAATATGGATTTAGGAAAGGATTAAAAACAGATAATGCAATCTATAAATTGACTACAGAGATTTTAAATGCCATGAATAACAAACAAATAGTGGGAGGCATCTTCTGTGATTTGGAAAAAGCTTTTGATTGTGTTGATCATGAAATTTTGTTATTTAAGCTTAAATTTTATGGTATCAATGGGAAAGATCACGCACTTTATGAATCTTACTTAAATAACAGATACATTAGAACAGTATTACATACTAATGACAGTAACAATACAGCCTCGGATTGGCTTAAAGTTAGATATGGAGTTCCACAAGGGTCTATATTGGGACCTTTGTTGTTTCTTTTATACATAAATGATTTACCCAGTATAATAACTAAATTTGCTACACCTATAATTTTTGCTGATGATACTAGCATCCTATTTTCTCATTCTAATACAAACGACTTTAATAAACACATTCATGCAACATTTGAAAATATAAATAGATGGTTTAGAATGAACAGATTATCACTAAACTTTAATAAGACACATTATATTAATTTTAAAATTAAGAGAAAAATGTCAGATACTGTTACAATAAGTTATAATAATAAATTCATTAATAATATCTTCTGTACTAAATTCTTGGGAATTATGATTGATGGTGCATTAACTTGGAAGAATCATATTGATCTACTTATTAAAAAATTGAGCAAGGCTTGCTATGTAATTAGAAATATGAAACCATATATGTCTATTTCAGTACTAAAGACAATTTATTATGCTTTCTTTCATTCCTTAATGAGCTATGGCATCATTTTCTGGGGAAATTCATCTAGTAGTTACACTATTTTTCTCCTTCAGAAAAAGGCAATTAGAACAATGATGGGATGTAGCAATAGAGTATCGTGTAGAAATATATTCAAAGAATTAGATATCTTACCGTTGGCATCACAATATATATTTTCTTTATTATTGTTTGTATTACAAAACAAAACTCTTTTTCCATCAAACATTGACTCTCATACTATTGATACTAGACAGAGAGAAAATGTGTATCTACCTCAAGCCAATTTAACTATTTATCAGAAAGGAGTTCACTATGCGGGTATAAAGATATTTAATGAATTACCCACAGAGGTTAAGAATACCTCAAATAATTTTAAAAAGTTCAAGGTTGCATTAAGGCATTTCTTAATTACTCACTCGTTTTACACTGTGGATGAGTACTTAATTGGATAACTATTGTAATAAAAATACTAATTATATTGTCTTGAATTTAGTACGCTGCTTGTCTAGATGTAATTTTTTAATGTATGTATTTTATGTTTTTATACTTGAGTTTGTGACGTGTTCTATATCCACTATTGGATTCTTGGAACTTGTAAATAAAAAAAAAATCTTTATGATGAGACATGAGATGGAGTCTGGTAAATATTGATGATGATGATGATGATGGAAGCAGTAAAGTCCTTTAAAACATTCATTATCTACCAGACTCTATGATGCAACATATCAGAAGACTTGATAATATTGTTGCCCTTATTTTAAACAATTTTAAGACCTTGATATTAGTGACATTGTTTCTGAGGTTCTTGTTGTACCGAATGAAAAAATTGTCCAATCTGTAAACAGAAATTTTACAAACAAATCAATGCAGTGCGATTTCTTAGCCATTACACCTATTACAAATTTCTTAATCAAAAACATGTTTCAGATTAGATGCATCGTTTGGCTGTTTGTTGAGTAAATGTGGGGTTTAACTATATTGTATACCAACAAATTAACATAATTTGCATAAAGAACTACCTGATGTAAGTCATACAGTCCAATCCTCCCTCATTCTTATACTTTAGTGATGGCATATTGTGTAGCGAAATTAAGAAACTGTAAGGTTGAATCTGCTCATTTCATTTTGCTAATAACTGGAAAAGTATCATATGTTTACCCACATCAACTTTAATAAACAAATCACCTGTATTCATGTTACTAAAGTGTATGTATATTATTTTCCCCTTCATTGCTATATATGAATTGGGCTTGTGGCCCTAAAAATGTTTGATAGGCCGTCTATAATGTAAACAATTGCTAGATTATTATAAAGCATTATCTGATGTTTGAAACATATTTTGACATGATTATGGAATACTTGTGGAGACATTTGCTAGTAATGGGTTTTCAAACTCTTGTTTGTTTTTGTAATCAACAGAATGTGCTGTATGCAGGTTGCAGACAACTGCTTGATTAGGGTTGTTTTGTGTGTTAATTTGGAAACATGTTTGTGTATAGTACTGGTCTGCATTATGTCTCATGACCATTGCTTTCTGAACCCTCCATGCACAAAGGAAATACAAAAACAATAGTAACTAAATTAGAATAACTTATCTAACATATCCCAATGGTATTAACAGCATTCATCCAGTTCAGTTCTTTGGCTGTTGAATAACATGTAGAATTTGCTGCCCACTCCATAATTTCTCATATGGTACTGTTCCAAATGATATCTTTCTGTGCTGATGTGTTATACTAGGGTTTGAATAAATTCCTAAAAGGATAGAAAAACTAAGTTTCTTGTGTTTATAATCCACAGCTAAAGTAAAGGAATTTAAAATGAACATTTTTTTTCTTATTTATCAGTTTGAAGTTATTTCCTCCACACATATAATTACTGATTTACATTGACATCCAGAACTTTGCACAAATATTTCATTAGGATGAATTTGCTGGAGATGGTGTGGATCTTTATGATGATGTAATAGCAGCACCTCCAAGCACAGGAGGGGGTGGAGATGAGAATTCTCAACCCCCTCATACTCCAGGACCTCCAATCCAAAACTCTGATGGGCATTCACCAAACAATGCCAATCCACCATATCATCAAATGGGTAACAATATACAACCCAATCAAGTGGGACGTCGCCATCAGCTGTATGTTGGCAACTTAACATGGGTAAGTATTGTGCACAGACAATGCTAATTTATAAGATGTTATGGAGGACACGACAGCGTTCTCAGTTTTTTCTCCAGGAAGTTGTAAACTTATAAGATTCAGGATGGACATTATGGGCTGCTGCACCATCTTAACTGGATGGACATGTGCAATTGTGGTTCCTTTATTTCCATATATCTGTGGTTTGTCCATAGCTCTTTCATTACTTGAAAGTTCCATGTAAGTCGTGTAGTCACATTAATTGTCAGTATATGAGATGTAAAAATTTGAAAGTGATATAAATTTATGCTTTGGCTTTCAGGAATCCTGTATATAGTATATCAAAATCAACTTAACTTCTCTTTTTTGTTTTCATTTTCATTGCCATAAAACAAAACTATTTCCATAAACTATTATCCTCATGTTTGCATCTACTGGTTCTTACTGTTCTGCATACATTATGTTGCATTTATTTGATGATGGTGGTAATTGAGATTGCTGTAGTATTACCCCCCCTCCCCAATAATTTAGAATTTTAGATAAACTGTAGGCCCCCATTTTCAGCTGTCAATTAGGTTTAGGGTTGGTTTCCAAAAAGAAAGTCATGAGGATCTTTATAGTTTACTCTGTATGTTTAGCTCCCAATAAGTTGTTGATTTTTGTTCTTTAAAGCTTCCATCTGAGTGCCTTTGTAAGACTGTATTCATTTTAGTTGTATTAGATGACATACTTCTACCATGTGAGATCTGATTTTCTCATGGCAGTGAAAATTTTTATGTTGGTCTTCTGGGCTATAAAACTATGTTGGCTTGGTTACCAGTATTTTGGAGAATCATGTTGTATGTCCTATATTGATAATTTTACAGTGGACTACAGACCAAGACATTACAGATGCAGTTCTTGGAATAGGAGTTACTGACTTTGTGGAAGTAAAATTTTTTGAAAACCGTGCAAATGGACAATCTAAAGGATTTTGTGTAATCACACTGGGCTCAGAACCAAGCATGAGGATGTGTATGGAAAGGCTACCAAAGAAGGAATTGCATGGCCAGTGTCCAGTGGTTACATTTCCAACAAAGCAGGCATTAAATCAGGTGAGTCAATTCCGAATATATGGCTTTTATTTGCTTTTGCGAATCATTGCAGTCATGTCACATTTCATGATCACATTATTTTGTATTGTTTTCAGTTTGAAGCGCAGTCAAAAACCCGACCAGTGCCACCTCCAAACCCAGGCCCTCGAAATCCTCATCCACATCCACATGCCCATCCTCCAAGAATGATGATGGGGCCTCCTCAGGGTATGAGACCAAGGATGCCACCCCCAGGGATGCCTCCTCCTGGTCCAGGACCTCGAATGCCTGGTCCTCCCATGGGACATGGAGGTCCACCTGGTCATGGACATCCTCCTGGCCCTCCAAACCAAGGACACCCACCACCAGGATTCCAACATGGTAATTGGAATGGTCCTGGATCCAATGGTATGCAGTGTACTCCATTTTAGATATTCTGTTATTTATTTCTTTGTGCACTAAAAGTTTTGGATGAAATTGCAATTCCAAGATTAGAGCAAGGAAAAATTGTATTGTTTGTTGTCATCTTCATTATAATCCCCTGAAAGTCATATATTTGGCAACATTGTTGCTATTCTTCAAAGGACACTTTGAAGTCATTTTTTAGTTGGTCATTTAACTCAGCAATCTTAGCCCTGCAATGTGAGTTACTTTAGTTTCATTGTTTAGTCTTAGAAACAAGAATCAATTGCAAGGAGAATAGTGATAGTGTTCTAGTATAGTGCTTTGTTTGTCTCACAATTTGTGTGCGAATTTTGTTTTTATTGGGAAATCCATTTGTTTATTGCAAGCTGTGGTCTGAAGGGCAAAATATTTTCTCAGACATTTGAAAAATTGACATTAAAGTGCTAGGTTCACTGTCTTGAAGATACAAACTTGTAGAGAGTTTATTTTTGGACTTCAAGAGGCAAGCTTCTCTTGGACTTGCTGACCACTCACCCCCATTTAGTGCTGAGGTCAAAGAGTAGGAGCTATACCTCCACTCTCCCCAAATGACCTACATGGCATGTAGCTGGACAGGTTTTTACACCTTAAGATGTGCGAATGAGAAAATTTGTGTGAAATTTTCTTATTTTGTTACATTATGGACAGGAACTGATAAATAAGTTCAGACGTCATGTTAAGTTTACTCTGCACCATTTGTCAAATGTCACCGTGCCTTGTACCACCATTTCTCCTCTCTGCAGTTACAGGATCTGTATGTGCATTTTCATACTTTCCAGACACAGTATTGGCACAACATTCAGGCTTAGAGTGTGTGTCTCCCAGAAGTTATTTGTGTTGCATTTCTGTGGACTTCAGAAGAATTTAATATTTAGAATGGCAGAACTGTATTAATAAATACTTAATTTGTCACAGGCCCTCCTCGTCCTGGTCCTCCTCCACAAGGCCCTCATCCACAAGGACCTCAACAGAGGCCACCACCAGGAATGGTGAGTACCTGTAATGATGTATAACTGAGTATATGATAGTCAGTCTTCACAAAACCCACCTATTTATGGAAAACACTTTCTTATTCTTGTAGATTAAGCACATTTCAGCTGTTATTTGTTTTGTCTATTGTTGCAGGCCAGCGCAGATTTCCTACAAATTTAGGACCCACCTTCAAAAATATATATGTCAGAAAAGAAAATAACATTTACATACATTTAATTGCCTCTGCTGAAATTGTCACCTTTGTGATGGTATCAGAACTGTGTGGCTTGAATTTGGACATGAGCAAAAATACAGAACTGTCAGAATAATGTGCAGAAACTTTTAGGCACTATAGCTGCCATGCACAAAGGTTACAAAGCTTTTGTGTGTGTGTGTGAGAATCACTTCTAAATATGAATTAATATTTGGGACATGTAACATTCACAGTGTTGAAAATATAACACTGTAGTCTTGTGGTTTGCATTGTTTTGTCTCCATTCGGACATAGTGACATCTACAAGACCATGGTATCACAGTCTAGAATGCCACAGAGCAGTTATAAAACTTATATATTCATATTCAGGGAACCATTAGAATTAATGTACGAAATAATTTGTCTTTGATCAGGTTCTATTGTTTGTAGTCCTTAATCCCACTTGCTTCTTTTATCACTGTCAGATAACACTTTATTAATTTCATTTGTGGTGTGAAAGCATTCAGGATCACTGCTTTCTACTCTGTGCTCATTTCCTGTGTGTGTTTGCTTAGTAACGATACTGTGTTGCTATGCATTATGTGTGCAGGAAATGAATAATGGCTTGCCTATGCTATAACAAGCACTTTTACATGCACTTAGTGCTTATACTGCAGGTGACCTAAGCAGTTGTCGGCCTCGGTGGACTAATTGTTAGCGTGCTCACCACTGGACCCAAGGTTCGCGGGTTCAAACCCTGCCGAGGTCGACGGATTTTTAAGGGTGATAAAAATCCATAGCACAACTACCTTCGGAAGGGAAGTAAAGCCAGCAGTCCCATGTCGTAGATTTATGGCATGTAAAAGAACCTTATGAGCAAGAACGAGATGTTTCGTAAGCAAAATTCAGCGACCATTTCTCACCCAAGTCTCTCCTGATTCACTACTAGATGGCTCTAGCAGACAAATCAGGATTGAGTAGAAATTGTGCAGAGGCAGTGGACTTGTCACTCACTACTCTCTAATGCACACTTCAAAGACAGAGAAACTTCTCACAAGGGAGGAGGCCAAGGCTCGACTTCAGGCTGTTGCACCATAGAAGAAGAAGACCTAAGCAGTTATCTTAGTGAAGTATTTTGGTGCATGATAAGACACCCCATCATTTTCCAAATTCCGAATTAAGAGAAACCATCTTATTTTTGTTCAGGTGCAAATGAAATGTTTTGTGCGTCATTTGTGTCCAGATATTTGTTGTCTCATTTAATAGAATAAAAACATTATTTTAGCTCTTTCTGCATATGTTACGTTCACAGCCATTCCAAGGCCCACCTCCTGGTCAGGGACCCCCCAGAGGGCCTCCTCCTGGCAGCATGCCTCCAGATCCTCGAGGCCCTCCACCTCGACCAGATTGGAACAGACCACCTGGTCCAGGTAGGTGGAAGATTGTTAAATTATATTTGAGCAAAGAAGTCGGAACATCATTCTGTTCTAGTTCAGCTGATCCAAAACTTTGTTTTAGTAACATTATTAACCTTTGTTAAATCAGATAGGTTTGTATGCACAATTCATATTTAAGGGAGTAACATTTTGGTAAAATACTCCATGAATCTACAATGTGTTTCCCAGTTATACAACAAAGTTTTGGATTGGGTGACTAGTATTTGACATGTTACCTTGTTTTTTATGTTACCTCTAGGCATGCCACACCACCATCCTGGCCCAGGCTTCCCACCCCACAATCAGCCACCGCCTATGCAGGGCCCCCCACCTGGCCAGGGACCCCCGCCTAGAGGCCCACCACCTGGACAGATGGGAGGTACGTTTGTCTGCACGTCTCCCATGCCGAGGCAAACAGGTGTAACTAAATATTGGTTTGGTTTGGTTTCTTACTGACGGAATAGAAAGATTGGCATGAGGTCATAACATAATTTATGCACTGTGAATGAGGTATCACCACCTTGTCGAAGACAATCTGCCGGGTGAGGAGGCTTGCGTGCTCAAATGACCCTTAGGGCTATGCCGGCCTGAGCTTCGGCTCATGGTAGGGTCACCCAAGCCGGACAGGTCTAAGGAGATGCGCTAGACTAAGAGTGATACCCTGGTCCTCCAGGTTGGGTGTAGGGCTAACAACCTTTCACCTTTAAAAAAAGATGTGTTACGAAAAAATCAACCAAGCCTCGGATCAGGACGGACTCTTTGGCACGACCATGGCAATTGAAAAAGGACATTTGGCCCAGGACAGGGTCCGGTGGAGGGCTTTGGTTAATTCGGTGATGAACCTTCGGGTTCGGTAAGCCATCTAGTTAGTTAGTTAGAATGTTCATTTTCCAGTATTAAAATAGTGGACTGGGCTTTGGTTGTGGCCAGGTCTAGTATGGTCTGTGCCATCTATCTTGGCATTTTGAGGAAGGGAGTGTGGGAGGGAGGGAAGTAGGATAATATGACACCCTCTGTACTCTATTATTACCAACAAAAATAACATTTCTCAATTGTATGCAGTGTCAACAATGTTTACAGGCACCATTGGAATGAAAACTTCCATCAAAATGTTACTTGGTCTGTAAGTACCTAATTTGCTGTTCAGTTGCATAGACCATGTCAGAGTGAGCAGAGGCGAAGTTCCCGCTGTGAAGTTAAGGTGCCAAGAAAATGGACATGGGCAGTGCACACATTGTTAGTAATGGATTGGTCTCAGAGAGTCAATGAATTAGAATAGTAACAGAAATTGTAAACAGGTGAGGTAGAAAAAAATAAATGTGAAAGGAAAGAATAGAACAAAAAATCAGTTAAATAATAAAAATGATGAATGAAGTAGAAGAGAAGGAAAGATGAAATAAGTATAGCATAGATATGTATTTGTCTTATATTCAAAGCATAAATTGAGACTATATGATAATTGTGAAGCCTGTATTTACCCTTTTTGGCATATTTATTTTATAGTAGGTCATAGGACCACAAAGGATTTATTTTTGTATAATAGTAAACCTCGATTTGCACCGCTTTTGAAACTAGCAAGTCAAAGTGGAAAAAATATATTTTACTATTATTTATAATGTTTTACAATGTTTCTCGTACTGATTCTTCTACTAAATCGTAATTCTTACATAGCTGATTTTGAATAAAAAATATAAATATAGTCACCTCTGCACTCATTGCTAAGTAGTTGCGAGATAATCTCTTAAAAATCCGCCGTTGCGCAACAGTCACGTGCGTATTGACACATTGAATGTGCTGAAAACTGTGCTAAATGTGTTTGTGTTCAACCAATATTCTGCAGTAACTGTTTTATATCTATAAAGTGTAGAAGAGCCACCATGTCTGGTAAGAGAAGTAAATGGGTTGCTAAAAAGTTACGTAGGTCTATTGCGTTAGAAGTTAAGATGGACATAATTCGTAGAATAGAAGATGGTGATACCCGTCGTAATGTGTGCAGAAGTATGAAGTTGCCTCCTTCCACTGTGGCTACCATAATGAAAACTTCATATAAAATAAAACAGTCAATGCAACAGGCTACGAAAGTAAGTGCAACACAAGTGAGTTATAGCAGAAGTAAACTTTTAGAAAGAATGGAGAAATTACTGTTGTTATGGGTAGATGACATGAATTGAAAAAACATGCCCTTGACTGAAATTGCTATCACGGATAAGGCGAAGTCAATTTTTGAGGAACTTATGTTGTCAGTGTTTGGGTGCCGTGAACGCATGTCATTGACTTCCCATTGTTTTACATTGTAAAAAGAGTTTCAGTTTACGCCGGTTTGTCCAGGAATGCATCCCCGGCGTAAATCGAGGTTTACCTGTATTGGAGTTTAGTAGCTTGGGCTACTCTTCGAACATTTACGGTGCACTTTTCATTGGAGCTTGATTTTATAAATAAAGCAGTTGCATCATTTTGTCACAGTGCAGGAGACTTGTAGACCATAGCTGAACTTTCCTCACCACAGATAATTGATGCAGTGCAGTTGAGGTTTCATTGTTCTTCTTTGACAACTTGTTTGTTTCAGGTCCAGGAGGTCCTCCACCAGGACATGGAGGTCCTCCAGTACATGGAGGTCCACCTCAAGGCCCACCTGCTCCTCATGTAAATCCAGCCTTTTTCCAGCAAGGAGGTGGCCCACCACACCAAGGTCCTCCTCATCAGGGTCCACCGCCCCCACATGGTCCACCTCATGGTTATGGGCCACCTCCTACATCTCAGGTAACAGAATTTTGACATCTGAGGTTGGAAGTGAAGGTGTCAAGGTTTGTTATTGATTTTACAGGTGGGTTCAAGTATTTCAGGGGAACTTCTTCAACCCTGAAGATGGAGTCAGTATGTTATTCCAAGACATTGGTACCTACCTGTAAATCCACATGTCACAACCTAGATGACTAACCTGAACTAGTATCATAGTTATTTAATGTTTTATCCACTTTAATGAAGCATAACAGTAATGTTGTTAATTTCTTAGGTCAGTAATATTTAAGGTATAAATATATGAGCGTGTGATGTAAATAGAACAGGGAATCTGTTTATTTTTGATAAGAGGAGGTGCTGATTTGGATTTCCACGTTGTTTAAGAATTCATACTATATATATGCAGGTATGACAATTTGTCCTGTGTTATGACACTATGGAATTCATAGGTAGATACCAACTTTTCATAGAAACATACATGTTGGTATCTGCCTGTGAGTCCACATGGTGCCAAAACCCAGAAAAACATTCATTCTCTTCACTGCTGCAAGAACCTCAAATCTCATTCACATGTTTAATTGGACAGAGCCTATTTTGGAGCATGTGCAAAAAAAGTACTGATATTTTCTACATGGTTTGTTGTGGGGCTGTCATGCATAAAACATGAAGAGGAGAATTGAGGAGGCCATGGACCAGAGAGCCATAGGAGAAGAAGAAGAAGAAGATTTACATAAAAAGATTTTTTTTGTCATGAATTGGCATTAAAAAAATTTACTCTTTAAAGATTAATTTTCATTTGTAGTTTTTTACCTTCTGTGCACTTTCTAGTTGTTCCTATTTCAAATACAAGTGAATTACAAGTAGAAATTATTTTGTTTGATATGTATGTGTTATGGGTGAAAATATAAACAGAAGACTCCTATGTGATGACAGATGCTTAAGCAGCTATATACCTTACGTCTGCGTAGATGTAAATAATTTACTTTCATCTCAGCCACAGTATGGGGCACCACCTCCAGAACATCGCCCTGAAGGGCCACCCCCGCTAAGCGAAGCTGAATTTGAAGAGATAATGGGACGGAATCGAACTGTATCAAGTTCTGCTATTGCACGAGCCGTTTCTGATGCTGCTGCAGGTAATTGTACATCCATCAATTTCTAACATAGGACACAGGAATTCAGTCTTTACATAGTGTGGTATTATTTATTGAAAGATTCTTAAGTTTTTCTATAAGCATTTTAGTTGTATGGTTTTTGGTGTTAGGATGAACGAAATTAGTTGAGAGTTGGGATGAAGAATTTAAATTGTCAAAAATAATTAATTAATTTGTCTAAAAACATGTTTTATTACAAAATTAATTTATCATATTTGTTTTGTAGAAGTTGTGTTAGAAAGTATGTGCATTCCTACACCATATTAAACATTCTTACAGGTGAATATGCAAGTGCTATTGAAACATTGGTGACGGCAATATCTCTGATAAAACAGTCTAAGGTTGCAAATGATGATAGATGCAAGATACTGATAAGTTCACTCCAAGATACACTGCATGGGGTTGAGACAAAAAGCTATGGATCTGCACGTAGAGGCAAGTATTTCACTGGAAGGTTATCTTACTTGTTAGGTTTCTTTCCAAGGTTGAAGAAGATATTTTGCCTCCTGTACAAAAAAAAATTGGTGATAGTTAGGAATATTATAAAACAGGTGAAGTGGTTACGAACTATAGCATGCCGTTCACTGCCTCTTTATTTCTCTCTTTTTTACATGTTTTTGTTTTTTACTCTTTCTAATTTGTAATTTGAACAATGTTGGTTTACTGTTGTAGAACGGTCTCGTTCTCGAGAGCGGGATCGCTCACATCGCCGGCGTAGAGAACGATCTCGCAGCAGAGATCGAGAGTATCGGGAACGGAGTCGAGAGAGAGAGAGGGATAGGGAGAGAGAGAGGGATCGTGACCGCTACTACGCTGATAGTTATCCTAGAGACCGGTCTCGCAGCAGAGAAAGAGAAAGGGAACGTGATTATCGTGAACGTAGTCGTGAAGACAGGTAATTATTGTTTTTAGAATTAAATCATTTGCCTCTTTGTTTGAGATTAATGTCCTCCTTTAAATACATGTAGTTTTCTTTTATTAGATTGACTGTAATTTTCTGAGATTGAAAGAATTGAGGTGGTATTTCAGGGTTTTGTGAGAACATTTTTATGTGCTTGTGAAGTATGAGATGCACTCATAATCTCTTGGTTAGGTGTGGCATGCTTTGTGTTTTCCTTGTGTCCCATTGATTCAGTACCAGTATCTATTCCAGTTCAACACGCCAGGCTGTTCGCCCCAGGGCCAAGTCACCTGAGCCACCTGATACAGCTGCTGTCATGAGCTCCAAGTCCAGGTATGAACCATTGCCCCTATCCCACAATTTTTAGATATGTTTATATTTAAGTTGTACAAAATGTGTCTGTTAGCTGCACCATGTCTGGCTGCTGTGTGTAACAGTTCAAGGACCATTGATTGGAATATCATGCATTTTGATGTGGGGATTTTTTTATATGAAATTTTGTTAACATTTTAACTTTTTTAAAAAATCAGGCAGCAATAAAAGACATTTTACAAAGAAAACCTTATCAAGAATACTTATAATGCTTGCAAAAATTAAAAATCAAAAGACAGAAACAGAACAAAAATGTCAGAATTGTTAACACTGTGCATAAATTTTCTAATTTCTTGATAGTGGTCTCCTTCAGTCACTTCACCCTGAAGATGGAGGCAATACATTCCTCTAAAATGTTGGTAGCCACCTACAAGACCACACAGTGTCATAACATAGAAGACCACAGTCAGCATCTTCACCACTGTGAGAACCTCAAATCTCAGATTTCCTAACTTGTTTTATTTTCACCTGTGCACAGCTTAGTCGTAAATGTTCCCATCAGTCCTTTCCTGCAGTGCAGGAATGTAAAGGCCATATTGGGATTCAACTCATTGCATGTGGAATGCAGTGAGTTTTCTTCCAAATATATTAATTAGTACCAGGAATAAGCACTTTTAAAAATTCATCATGAATAACCTAATGGTCCTACAGAAGTTATATTAGTATTAATGGAAACATTAATTAAGAAAGACAAGGAATTGGTTCTTGAGATTTAAGGGTCTTGGTTTATGGTTTGCATGGCTAATACATCTTTCAGGAATTGTTTATATTTGAAGTGTGTCACATGTGTATTAATACCAAGTAACTTGCCGCGTTAGAATACAATATCTTTTAATTGCTGTTTCAGTTGGTATTAATATAACTTGTAAAACTATTAGTTTGTCCAGATAAGGTTTTTAAAAGTTTGTGTTTAATTTGCAGAAGTCCTAAGTTATTTAGAATATTTATAGGGCATTCAGTTAAATATGTTTTGGTATTAATAATATACAGCATTAGCTGTCTATCCAGAGGAGTGAATGTGTGTGTTGTGATTCCCTGAAACATTCTCTCCAAGAATAAAGCTTTATATATATATATTTTTTTAACAGTAGATGTTTATGTCAGACTGCTATGATTGGCTGATGGTTGAGTGGACATTTTCCCTATTATTCCTTCTTCTAAATTCTGTATATTTTTTACTGTTCCCCTATTTGGGCTGCATATTTAACTTACAACATTTTATGCCAGGAAAAGAGTATGGATCGTGTAGTTACTCCATATATAAAGTTAATTTATTTCTCCTTTGTTTTGTCATGCTGTTTGAAAAACAGTTTGTGGCAGTAGGGGTTATTTGTTTCTGTTTATGTATAGAAACATAGTGGAGAAAATCACTTATAAGTTGGATGCTGAAGGGAAGGTTAATAACACCTATTTTGGGGAAATAGTTTGACAGTGTGATTCTGCTGCCGTGGCATAGGTTAGGGTGTTGAGCCAGGGTTTTCTGATGATAAACCTTGGATTCTGTAGTAGCAGAATACTGAACTGTTGATTCCTGATGGAATTATATATGTGTCAAAAAATAATTATGTGAAACAAAATATATGGTCTGATAACTTTATTGCAGTAACCTGCTTATAACAAAATATAAAACAAAGGGACCAAAAAATTATATTTCTGCTCTGGACAGCTATCCAACAACTCTTATATGTGGGTAAAAATATTAAACAATATGTATCTTAATTTATGATCCATGTCACAAAGATAGTAACACCAGTGAATGTGTTTCTTGTACTGTATAGTACGGATTTCCTACTCTCTTTCATTTTGAAAGGAAGATCATAGTTGGGTGATTAGCACTCGTGTTTAGGAAGGCAATTCCAGGTGTTTAATCCTAGTGCAAAGACCACTGTTCTAGCTTCTTTTTCCCCAAGTAAATTCCAGGATAGTATTGTAAATTGGGCCACTACTGCTTCCTTCCATGCCATTTCTGATTCATTATTAGTCATCCTATCATTCAATCCCCACATTCGAAAGTGGCATCAAATAAATCAAGAAACACAGTTTTATCAATACATAATGACATTTTCAGTTAGCTGTTTTCTGTTAGCCCTTTGTTGTTTATTTTTGTTTCCATTGGTTTTCATCAATTTTTTCTGGGACAGAACAGCTCAACAGTAATGACCAGTGTTTGTTTAACCTAAGTTTATTTCAGACAGTTTTTAACACACATTTTCATTTTCAAGCTCGTTATATTCTAATAGCAATGTAAATGTTGCTTCAGGTACTACTATGATAGAGACCGGGAGCGTGAACGTGAGAGGGATAGAGAACGGGAGACCACCCGACGAGATCCTGAACGCGAGAGAGAGAGGGACAGAGAACGTGAACGTAGGGAGGAAAGAGAGTCCTCTCATCGCAGCTCACGTCACTAATTACCATTCTTTAGACAGTGGGGGCATTGGAGAAAGAGCAACACCACTTCTGGTTCCAGTTTATGTAATTGGAGGTGAATCAGAATGCGTGTAAGTTGTTTCTCTTTATAATGGTGTGAAAAAATGTTCAGATTGCTTCATCTTTGTGTTTCCAGATTATTCTAGTTTGTACCACCTTCATATCTTGAGAATTAGATAGTATATTATATAGGTGTAGTGTGTTTTAAAATAGTGAATTTACAGTAGGAAATGACTATGTAAGTGTTTGCAGGAGTATATTGTTATGGGATGTCATACAAGTCTGAATGATGTGAAATTTAATTTGAGAATTATGTGTTAGGTTCATTAACATTCTGATGTTTTCTTGTACCAATTCACATTTCCCAGTAATATAATTGATGTTTATGTATGTCGTGTATGTATTGACAAAGGCACTGAGATGTAATTTGTTGGGTATTCTCTCTTTTGCTCTCTTTTCATTAAAGCTTCCTTGAAGATAATTATAATCTCCATAAATACTACCCACACAATGTGAATATGAACTCTAAACCAAGTAGCACAACTCATGTCTTTGTAGTGAGTTTTGCTCAGTTTGGATAATTTTATCTTCAGTTTCTTGTGGAATTTATTGACTAAAGAATTGGCATGACCCTACAAAAATTAGAGGATTTACTAGTTTGTCAGTTTTTGAATACTTAATTCATGTTGACCTAATGTTAACGTAAACTTGGAAAGACTGTAGTTGACTGTGAATTGGTTTAATTTCAAAGATAATGCAGTAATGGGGAAACTAGTATATCCAGAACTGTCTGTAAGACTTTATTTAAAGTGGTGTTACCCAATGAAGTCTTGTTGAATGAAGGCAGAATGTGCTCCATACATTATAGTAAGGATTCAGAAAAACAGATTTCTTTAAAATAAATTTATCCAGAATACTGTTCTTATGTTGGCAGATGATGTATAAAGGAGATTAAGGGAAGCATAGGAGATGTCTTATTGGAGAATGTTAACCACCTTGGCAAAAACATTATAGTACAGTAAATTTAAATGTCAGAGTAGTAATTTATGTATAATTCGGCAACACAACACCATATTTCAAGCATCTAAATTTGTACTCCATTTAATGAAACATATCTAAACAAAGTGAGATTTTAGATTCTTACAGTAATGTGTATGAAGATGGATGTCTTTCGTAATGTTCCGCCACATAATGTGATGGGTAGATGCACTAAGCCTCTTTGTATGTACCAGACTACATAATGCACCATTTCAGACAGCCATCTTCATATCTGAGCAAGTTGTGTCATTTGGATTTATACTTTAAGTACATTGTAGAACATCGGAGACCAGTGAGATGTGGTATTTGGGAGCATATTTGTGTCGGGAAATATTGATTCATGAAACTATGTTGCTAGATAGTACTAGTGTAGGTTGCTTCAGTTGAATCTGTCATCAAGTCTGCAGTATTTCTCAACATTGTGAAGATTATCAGGGAAGATTGTAAAGCAAGAGGATTGCATCCATCAAGGAATGGAAGAGAAGATTGTATTGAAGATTGGCTGCAGAAGTTAGTTGTAACACAGTAATTTCTTTGCAAAATGTATTCATAATGTATATGTAGCATGTAGTCATTGCATTTTTTATCTTATAATAAGGGAAGGGTGAACAGATGTGAACAAGAATGTTACATAGGCTTGAGAGGCGGGAAGTACCCCAGAAACATGCTTCAAGCAAGCTATAGGTATGTATTTTCAATAACATTCTTGTAGGATCTGATTTTTTAAAATTTAAATTGAATTCTTATCCTCTACTTTATACATGTTAACTCCTATACTTATTGAGTGAATTGATTATTCATCTTCATTCGTTTGTGTTTATTCATTTACAGCAAGTTAAAAAGAATGGAATATGGTGGTTATAGTTTGATATTCCAATTCAACGTTGTGGTGTTATGCAGGCTAATTTGGTATTGATTGTAAAGTTGGAATAACAGTAAACTGAGAGCCCAAAAAGAAGGGTTTCATATTTAACCCTATTACTGCTAAGCCTCTTTTGATGTGCTGTGGAAGAATTTCCATACTGTTGGTCTGTGCCTAAAGTATGGAGTGTTGAAAATTGTATTTTTTATGGTTTGGCTGTCTCAAGCAAATATGATTTACATAAAGCAGACAACCTGTCTATTTGGCTCATGTGGTTCTCTGTTAGAAAAGGGTATCTATCCAAAACGGTCTACAGCGAGTGGTGTTATTACACTGAAGTCTGTGAGTCTTATTGTTTACAGGTCAAAGTTTGACAGGAATTTGACTTATGATCGTAATCAAATTAAGTTGTAGTTGACATGACATCATAAGTTTTCTTTCTTTCTGCTTAGGAATGGATTAGACATTCATAAATAATATCTCACATTTGAATATTAAATACAGAATGTCAGGACGTGATATTTATTTATACAAAATATGAATTTTGTTGTTTTCAGTTCCAAATGAAATAATTTTAAATACATTAAGTAGTGGTGGTTGTTTTCAGTTCCAAATGAAGTAATTTTAAATACATTAAGTAGTGGTGGTTTCATGCATAGTTGACTTCCTTGTTACATGAGTAATTGTCGTTTTGGCAGCCTACACTTGGTATAGTTATTATGGGTTTGTTTTTATTGTATTTTATATTCACAGAAACTTGGATCTGTAAAGAGACAAAATATTTGGAAATACAAGACTAGTTCATATAAATTGAATCTATTTTTCAGTACATAACCCTTTGCCATGCTATTCAAATCTAGGTGCCCGCTGTGGTAGCCCAATTGATTAAGTACTCTTTCAATCTGTATTACATTGAGAATGGCGGTAGAGCGAACATTTACTGCTGTGTGCAGCATGGCAGAGGATTAGTTGGAAAGTTTTGTCCTTAGCAGAAACATTGTATTTGCAATCATAGAAACATTTTCTATGTTAGCGCAAAGTCTGAATTAACATGCCATGACAAAATTTGTCTGTTACACAAATTCCAGCAAGTTGTGTGTATGCTGTACAGTGAAATAATAATATTGTTACCATATTTTATGGTTGCATAATCAATTAATAATTACAGTTACTTTTTGAAATTAATTCACGTCAGATAATGGTGATAAAGAGTACAGAACATTATTGCTGTTTTATGCAGTAGGTGATAAGTAAACATATGGTTTTAGTTACTCCACTCTGCTCTCATGAACTTTAAAACTGACCACAAGAATAAGAATGCCCATGTTGGAATATAATGTTACTAAGTGTCTGCAGAGGATGGTTTTTTTACGTATGACATACAATAAATCTAGTGCATCAATACTGTGTTCTTTGCTTGTATTGTCACTGTTGTACTTATTAAAAATATAAAATATCTAGTGCCATTTCTATGGAATTAGTCTGTAGTCAGTATTAGTGTTCCAATTTCATATTTACTGATGAAGTATGTTTCCCTTCTATTTAAATATCAAGGCGCCTTGTGTAAGATGGACTGCTTTTGTTGTGGTCATTGTTCTTCCCAATCTGTTTGGCTGTTCTTGTCAAGCCAGATGTTACTATCCTGCAAGTATTAACTTGCGATTCCATCTGGCATTTCTTCACATACCTTTTTGTGGATTAAAAATAGAAGCAATAATTTTTTATATCCGTGTTTGCGTAAAACAGGTATTTAAATATTAGAAATGATAAACAGTATATTTGTAATTCAATGTTTCTCACAATTTACAAACTGTCAGCAATTACATTCTTTCCCATTCTCCCATGTCGTCATGACTGCAGATAATATTGATGGATGGTTTTTTTATATAGAGTATTATTTAATAACTGCAGTGTCTTAGAGTACATGACATCAGATTAATATCACTAAGTTATCAAAGGCACATGATTAATGACTGAAAACCAAGCAAATGTAAATGTTCTTTCATCCTAGCTGAAGTACATGTAAGATTTGAGGTTTTCACAGCGGTGAGTATGAAGATTTCTGTCTTCTGGGTTGTTGCGCTGTGTAGTCTGGTCGATGTTAACCAACGTTTCAGAGGTCATACTGCCTCCGTCATCAGAGTATGAAGATTTCTGTCTTCTGGGTTGTTGCGCTGTGTAGTCTGGTTTCATTCTTATCAAAGGGCTAAAGCATGGCATTATCTCACAGTCAGAATAGTGTTGTCACTAGATAAATCTTTTTTTCTCTCTCTTTTTAAGTTTTGTATTTGGAAAGCAGTTATTATTTTTAATAGAATACATTTCGTATATACTTCTCATAGTTCTGGCTTAGATGCATACAACACCAAAAGTAATCATCTAATTATAATTGGAACTTTGTATATATACTGTAAGGTAACAGTTGTCCTGTTGATGTCTGTGAGACATAATATTCTAAAACTCATCAAGTCTGAATTTTGTGGTTTTATTAGGTCTGTTATAGTATACTTTTGCATAAAAATTTGTTCACATGCTTTTGACAAAACAAGAATTGATGCCTGTAATTCTTGCATACGATTGTATCTTTGAGAAGAAATTAGTCTCTCTTCTAAGAGGATTTTAATAGAAATGGAGTCTGGACATTTAAATGTATAAGAACAGCCTGAAAGGTACAAATCTTGCATATAAATTAGTCTCACTATGAAATGTATGCACTGCCATGTGCTCAACTAGGTATCTTGCTCACTTCGGAACATAAATGTAACGAACATACATGAAGTAATATCAATCCTTTCAACCCTTTGCGGTTCAATGGTAATCCACAATACAGGTTTGCATGTTGAATTCTGTTTTGTGTTGAACCGCAAAGAGTTAAATATTGCATGAATTATTGATACAGAAATGCACAAAGTGCAGTTTAGAAACAGAATTGGTGTGCACTCACTCTCAGGTATCTTTATGTTAATATGTAATTTTATAGCATTCTGTGCCACAGATATAACAGTGTCCTGTGATAGTTTTCAGCAAGCAAGAAATAGATATAATTTTCTTCTCCACTCCCCAAATAAGTCAGAATAGCATGTTTAGTGGAAAGTCGTGTTAATTTGAAATTCAAAGTATCATAAACCATAGTTTCCAACATTTTCTTTTATTTCTGAACAGTGTGTTTCCTCCGAAAGAAGAGGTAGGTAAATTCTCAGTGTTAATGAACTTCCTTATCTTTACAATGACCTTATGCTTCATAAGAGGGCTATAAATATTTAAGTCGTGACTGAAGTTTAGACAGTTTTCAATCTAGATTATCATCAGCCTTCTTGGATGTAGGCCTAGTTAAAATGTTTTAGGTATTAAAAATATGCCTTTCCACCTGTTTTTGAGGTCATCCTAACCATCTTCCGGTTCAATATTATTTTGAAGGGATATTATCAAACATGCTCTTTTCCAATATCTGTTAATGATGTTTATAAAATCTGTAGCCCGTAAAATATGTAATTATGTATATTTGTTTTGTATTTAAAAGGAGTTAACCCACTGCTCATATTCTCTTAAGTTCTGTGTATGACATAAGCTTTACTACCATA